GGCATGGAGCAGTGACAAGTCCTTCTGTCTCCACTCCCTCCCCCTACCACAGAGCCACAAAGCCTGGGCTCTGAGATTCTGAGTGAGGTGGAGAAATATAGATTCCTCAAGAGCTGCTATTCAAGCCATAAGCAGCATGTGCCAATGTTCCGTCCACAATCCTGGTTCAGTCTCCAGTAAGCTGCACATCTGGCTGTCACACACTCTTTTGTAGGGCCATCTCAATGACCACACTGATGCTGCCTCTCCCTGGGGCCAGCCCCACAGTGGCCTCCCTGTCCTCCCAGCATGTGATGTCATGAGCATGAGTGTCCTGCCAAACATTTAAGATGTTGCAGTTCACATTGTGTACATTGTATAGAAAGACATTGGCACATAGATTTTTAAAAAAGGGGGTGGGGGCCAAGATACAACCAAACCTTGTTCTATTGTTACACCAAACTACCAATTCAGCACAAATACGTAACTTGTATTCTTTAAGAACACAATCTTCTCTTTTTGTTGCTGTCACTGTAACTAGCATCCCTAGATTAAGAGATTCCCTTAAAGCATTTTTTTTTTTCTCTACTGTGGTTTCTCAAATTCTTTAAAAGCATGAGCATGGTTCATTCTCAAATCAACGCAGGCAGGTAGGGGAGAGGGAATCTTGGGGTAACTCAAAATCATCTTACCTCCTGTGACTATCAAGAAGGGACCCAGGAAGACTGTTAGCTGCACTACAGAAAGGCAGTGCTAAAGAAGCCCTTCTGTTCACTGTTCCTCAAAGTGTGGTGTAAGGATGACCTCAGCAAACTTCCTGAGGTGCTCAATAGAAATGTAGATTCTTAGGTCCCCACCAGATCCACTGAGTTAGTCTCTTGCAAGCCTGCAGAGGGAGAATCTGCACTTTAAGTGAGTCCCTAGTGATTCCTCCATTGGAAAACAAGGGCTTTAAAGTTGAGTTTAAACCCAATCCTGGTCCTACATAGTGGCTATATGACTTTGGCAAATAACCAGAATTTTCCACATCTCATTTTCCTCATCTATACAACGGGGACTGCGGGAGAACTAAATGTAGGGAGTGTCTGACACAAACAGGTCTCAAAAACATAAATTCCCTTTTCCCTGTTATTCTAGTAGAGTACTTGGGTCTGCCATTTTATAGGTCATTGAGGGTCAATATCTTCATGTGGCTGAAATTTTTTTTGTCACTATACTCTAAGTTCTAATGGAACTCCATTAAGAGTAGATAAAATAATCAAGACTAAGCCCCTCTGAAGCTGAACCTGTTGCTTATGGCTGTGCTAACACAATAGCAGGGAGCTCTGGTAACATAGTGCCTAAGGCACTTGACTGCTAATCAGGAGGCGAGCGGTTCAAACCCACCACCAACTCCTCAGAAAGAAGGTTGGGCAATCTACTTCCATAGTGACACTGCCTCAGAAACCCAAGGAGGGGTCGCTATGAGTCAGGTCTGACTCGAAGGCAAACAACAATAGTTGTTAGCTACTTGTGGCTACTGAGCACTTGTAATGTGACTAGTGCAGACTGAGATGTGTTGTAAGTGTAAATTATTCATTAAATTCCAAAGATTTAGTATATTAAAATACCTTGTTAATAAGTATTACATGTGGAAATGATGATTTTTTAATATATCAGGTTAATTAAATTATTAAAATTCATTTCACTTGTTTATTTTTTACCTTTCTTAAGTGGCTACTAGAAAATCTGGAGTCTCTGGGTAGTGCAAATGGTTAACTCACTTGGCTACTAACCAAAAGGTTAGAGGTTCAAGTCTACTGAGAGGCCTCAGAAAGACAGCCTGGGAATCTATTTCCAAAAGATCAGCCATCAAAAACCCTATGGAACACAACTCTACTCTGACACACACAGCATCACCATGAGTCGGAACTGACTTGATGGCAATCCCAAAATTTAAAATAGCATGTGGCTCACATTATTTCTAACTGGACAGTGCTGTTGTAGAGAAACAGCTCTCCCTCCCTTGAACTGATAAGAAAAACCAACACTGGAGTTATAATCTCCAAAAAGTGATTTCCTAACTAGTCAGGCAACAGTTGGCTAAGAGAGATTTGGGGTTTCTTTTTTCATGCTATAGGGAAACATAGGGCTCAAGTAGCACAACCTTCACATAAGAAAGCAAGCAGCA